CCACCTTGCAAGATGAGATGATGCCATTCAGTGGTTTCATGTAGAAACATGATGACAGTCACTGTTTCCTCCAAACAAAGGTCTCTCTTATGTGTCCTGTCATTTAGAAGTTAGTTTTTATCGCTCACATCGATGCTTCGACCTCGGCTGAGTGCAGAAACTTAAAGAAGTTTGAGATTTGGTTTTAAATGTTTGCGTTCACTCAGGTTTTTACCTGCAAATTGCATAAACACAGGAAGAAACTCGTCTGTCTGATGGATTAAAATCTGCCGTCTACACTTTAAGATGGCATTACAATGTGTTGCCCTGACAGACAGCGTGTTGTTTCTCTGCAGCGTCTGTCATCATCAGCGCAGATTTAAAAGCTGCCGAGTCTCCGAGGAGGAAACCAGACAGTGAAGAAAACACCATGACTTCATCCAACACACACACGATGAGGATATGACATCAGTAATCAGCTCATTGATGAGTTTCCCTGGCAGACGCTTCACCACGTGACTCCTCCATCTGCACTTTATTTATCTGCAAAGCTTATTGCTGCTCGCAATGTGCCTCATTTTTGTTCTTCTTCCATCGAGGTCAGAGATCATCCACAGACTCTGTGACCTCTGACGCCAAAGCAAAGTTCACTGTTGGTGTCTGCAACTGTTTTAAATCAGACTAACATTCTCACAAAACCTTAAAAGTTTCATTTAGCAACCAGCAGACCGTCTGATTCACTGCGGCTTTGCCAGTTCATATGGTCCCTGTATTGTTTCAATCATCAGATGTTACTGAATCTTTTTTGCACAACAGATGGATCCTGTTACGAACCACATTTTACTGCATAGTCAGCAGAAAACAGTGTTTAAAGATAAACAGTTGGATGGCTTCATGATTTTCAGTGTTTGATTGATTCAACCAGGATCTGGATGATTGTCAACAACAAAACAATCAACAACATTTACAACACACTACAAAACAAATGAACAGAGAAATGTACTCTGTGTGCACTCAGTGAGCAGACTCTGTTTGAAATAACAGTTTATGTCAATCAGACAAACGCAAAGACTCACAAACCAACTGCAAAGACACAAAAACCAACCTAATAACTCAAAAGGACCATAAAGACACAAAACTACTTCTGAGACACACAAGGCGACTG